GAGCCCTGGAAGTATGTCAATGAGTGCTATAGAGTTGATACATACCTCAGTTGCTATAAGAATATTATTAATCCTATAAATGGCGCAAAGTTGTGGCCGTCAGTTGATGCCCCACCAATTTTAGCACCAGGATGGTTTATGCCCAAAAGAGGGAGAAAACAAAAGAAAAGAATGAGACAACAGGAAGAGGATGTCATCACCCGTTCAGGCTTAAAGGCAAAAATGAAAAAAAAGGGAAATGTACTTATGACTTGTGGTGTTTGTCAAGAAAAGGGGCACAATGCACAATACCATCAGAGGCCCGATGCACCCCATGAGGTATGTGTTCTTTTACATAGTTCTAATTTTAAATTGATTTCATATTTGTACTTAGAATTATAATTATTTCACCTGTTTACTTATTTTAGGATGACCTTGCATGTGATGTGGAGCATACAATTCAAGAAAGGTCTAGTCCAATTAATGACCACAACTTAAGGGTAACCCAACATGTTTTGTATTTTGCTATATTACTGGCTTGCATTTAATATATATATCCGAAATGACTATTGTTCGCTTGTTGGTTTTTCCATTTTGTCATAGGCAAAGTTAGTGCCTAGGAGATCAAACACAAGTTCAATAAATGAAGTTCAGCCGCCACCACCTCTACCTTCTAAGTTCCATTTCATGCCAACGCCTGGATTAGATTTGACAAGTGCTGCACAATATAACTGGAGTGCTCCTTCACCAATTGAAAATATCCCACTCCAAACTATGGTGGAAGATTTGCAACATATTGAAATTCAAGAAAATGCACAGAAGATGGCAGCAAGAGACAAGAACAAAAGAGTGGTTAGAGGCTCGGTGACATTTGCACCTCCGAGGAAAAGGACTCATGCAGCTACTCAGTAGAACAAACTAGTTAGGCCCTATTTTGGAAACAAACTAGTTAGGCCATATTTTGGAAAAAACTAGTTGGTGCTGTAATGAGCAACTGAAAATTACTGTGCTTTCTTAATGGAATGAATTGATGCTTTTTTGATGTTATTTGCACAAACTAGTTAAATGCTTCAGTATTTTGCTGTTTTAATGTGCATCAGTTTTTAATCTATTATGCAATCTAGCAAAGCAGGTGAAAATTTGTTACTTTAGCCAATCAAAATTCAAGCTTTTTTGCTGTTGATGCCATTTGCATCAGATTGCATATGCTTGTTAGTTAAATGCATCAGTTTGCATCATAAATTTGCACCAGCAAAGCTTCAGAAATTTGCACCAGCAAAGCTTCAGAAATTTGCACCAGCAAGCATCTCATTAACCATTAATTGTCACATACAAAACACAATAAAAGATTTACATTTAAAACTAAATCCTTAAACATATCAAGGATTAAATTCGATTTCATTCATTTATATATTCAAATACACATGGAACATAATCCACCAATTTTCCAACTACAACACAGGGAAAAACGTTAATATGGTGGCTCTAATCTGAAATCAATTTTCCTACTACAAAGATGAAGACTAGATTACTGTTGTGAAAACCTGGAAAAAAAAAA